TAGGTGTCAATTCGCTGCAGCAGTACTACCTTAGCCCTGACCCGCACTTCTCTTTGATTCAGAAGGAGAACCCAGATGGCAGTAGGTACCCAGAGCTGGTACTGAACGCGTCCCTGGACAGGGAAGAGCAGTCCTGTCACCACCTGGTCCTCACAGCTGTGGACGGGGGCGAGCCGTCCAGAAGCTGTACTACACAGATCAGGATAATTGTCGCAGATGCAAATGATAACACACCAAAGTTCACCCAGGACATGTACAGGGTCAGTGTTAGAGAGAATCTGCCTGCCGGCTCCTCGGTCCTAAGAGTCATGGCCACTGATCCGGATGAGGGGATCAATGCCGAGATCACTTATGCCTTCATCAATATTGATAAGTCAGTGAAAGAACTGTTCAAGCTGGACAGTAAAACAGGGGAACTCACCACTGGTGAAGGACTGGACTTTGAAGAGAGAGAGAGCTACACAATTGGGGTGGAAGCAAAGGACGGTGGACATCACACTACATATTGTAAAATACAAATAGATATTTTGGATGAAAACGACAATGTCCCAGAGATAACCCTGGCTTCTGAATCCCAGCATATACAAGAAGATGCTGAGCTTGGGACTGTTGTTGCCCTGATCAAAACACATGATCAAGACTCTGGACTTAATGGGGAAATCATGTGCCAACTAAAAGGAAATTTCCCATTTAAAATAGTTCAAGATACGAAAAACACATACAAGTTGGTGACAGATGGATCCCTGGACCGAGAGCAGATCTCAGAGTATAATGTCACCATCACGGCAGCTGACAGGGGCAAGCCGCCCCTCTCCTCCAGCATAAGCATCACCCTACACATCTCCGATGTCAACGACAACGCCCCAGTTTTCCACCAGGCGTCCTACTTGGTTCACGTGCCAGAAAACAACCCTCCTGGAGCCTCCATCGCTCGAGTCAGTGCCTCCGACCCGGACTTGGGTCCCAACGGCAGCGTCTCCTACGCAATCGTGGCCAGTGACC